ACGTGCAGTTCAGTTTTTGGGCACGCATACGGTGCTGCAGGGATTTTCAGGTGTACCTCTTTGGGCTCTTGCATACCTTTTTCTCGTCAGATGTGTGCGTGTTCCTTAGATCCTCAAGAGCTCTAGCACTTTCGTGACCACGGGCTGAGAGTCTTTTGCTAGATTTTGGCATTTAGCAACTGACATACGGTTTAATGTGAAGACAAACAACAACAACGCAAAATGAGACGCTGTTGTGCCCGATTGATTGGATCGATTTGTTGTCATATCTTCAGTTGCCCGCACGAACAACTTGCGTAGACACCCATGACTTGTCTCTACTTTTGAGATGAGACGAGGTTCCTAGCAGGCGGGCACAACATGTTGTGGGTCGGGCAGTGCAGTGGGTGCCTACCTTTGTTTGCGACTTCAAGCGCCGAAGGGACAAAAGGACGATTTGTTTTATATTTTCTTAATTATCAAACGAATCCATCCATCTCTAGCTAAAAGAGTTATGTCCCCCGTGGGTAACAGGGTCAACCAAGACCATGTTGTGTGAATCTATCTGCATGTTGTACTGGGAATGTACGTTTCGTTTCCAGTTTTCAAATCTCCGTTCTCAGCGGCCCAGTGAGCGACCAACTACTTCTCGGGGTTTCGACTTAGTTCGTGGGAAACGACGTCGACCTACTGTTGGATTTAGGAGAGTCATCACGTACGGTGGGAGGGAACACGCCTCCCGACCAAGAAACGACAAACCACCAACAACACCCGACCGACCGCAAACGTGCAGAACACACATCGGTCAATGGTGTACAATTCGGGGAATACCCATTGTTCGTGAATGTTTCTTCTTTTCGCATTACATTCTTCTCGTTCGTCCATCTCCACATGCCGGGACAGCAAGACTCTTAAAATCGTTAAACTACGCCGAAAGAACTCGGATCACAGCAAAACGCAATGCGACCGTTCATCACCAGGGAAGGAACAGAAACAACAGCTGAGCCACGGATACTGTGCCCGACGCCACGAAAAGGCGAACCCGGAAAACACCGAAAAAAATAAAAAACAGACGATCAGACTCCCAACATATGGTCGGTGAACAAGGCTAGTTCGTCAACAAGGACGACAAGGTAGACAGGCTTATAACTTCGAAACTGCTGCGAAGCGCCTGGCATTAAACAAGCCGCGACCAAACTCAAAAAGCAAGGAACATGATCGTTGAAAGGAGGGGCAAGAGGCCAACAGAGGTACTTTCCAACAACTGCCCTACTCTGCTAAAACACTTCCCCTCTGCCTGACCCCCACTTCAGACCAAAAGCGTTTCATAAAAACGAAACAAAACGAAAGGGTTTTAAAATGGGTGTGTGGTTTAGTTGAAGGTGTACCCCGCGCCGAGGAGGTCGTTGATCACGTACGGCTTGTTGTTCAGCTCCTCGTGCACCATCAGAGCCAGGATTCCCATCTGTGCCGCGCGCCCGTTGTTCAGCTCGATCGCGCGCTTCGACGCCTGGGTCTCCTCCGACATCGCGTCCCACGAGGACGCGAACGGGTTGCCGCCGTTCGTGAAGTCTCCGGGGAAGGAGCCCTCCACGTTCTTCATCACAGCCAGCTCAAGGAAGCCCACGAACGCGAAGATCTGCGCGAGGCCCGCCGGGGGGATCTTCGACAGAGCGGCCACGCCGTTCGGCATGTCCGCGAACGACAGGTCCGCCGAGTTCGACAGCATGCCGGGGAGGCGGACGTTCTGCTGGGTCAGGTGACCGGCGATGGCGAGCATAGCGATGCGCCCGTGCTTCACCTCCACGTACCGGAGGCGCTCGAACCGCTCCTGGTCCGCGTCCGCGAGAAGGCCGAGCGGGTCCCAGAATCCGAGGGGGGGCTGCGCGCCGATCTCCGACTCGAACGACATCTTCATGGCGGAGGAAGACTTGGCCGGGGTGGCGACGGCGGCGCCGTTGAACGCGCTGTGGTTGTAGGTGGCGACAGTGATAAGGCAAGGGGAGGAGAAAGGGAAGGCGGGTCAAAGGTTGATGTTAACCCGGGAGGGGCTTTCGTAATTGCTGTTTTCCTGAATCAACCACGGCTCGGGGATTTTGGAGATTCTTAAGGGTTTGTAGGCATTGTATGCATACAACAGACAACGATCGAGACGATGTTGCGCGTTTGCGTGGAAACGAAACGCCGGTGTGTGGCTGTACCCATCCGCCGTGGTTCGAAGCTGAGTGGACTTCACACGAAAAAAACAAGCTGACTCGCAAGTTGACGGAGTCCATGCGGACATGTTCGACTGAGAGATCATGACAACGGACTGCCGGTGGGACCATGCCACTGCATGATTTCGAGGCTGCACACTCGGTGCAACTACTGCTGGTGGTTGATGAGCGCGGCGAAAGGACCAAGCAGTCCAAGTCGGAGGTTTGTGGAGACACACATCGGTTCATGGGGCGACGGACACCGCTGCTCGTATCTGCCACGCCACTCGACAAAACGACGGCCATCTTGATCGAACACTTACGAACTTGTACTAGAGAAAGGTGTGAGGCGCACTCGTTCAGTCGCCATACGGACACGGCTAAATTTGTCTGACGGGACGAGGGCGACGTGGTTCATGAAGGCAGCGCATTGTTTTCGTTCCGATCGTTCTCTTAATCAAAGCCCCCCCGACAAAACGGCGAGCTGCAGATGACGACTCTATTTACTCTGTTAGCAACTCCACACACAGGTCCTCATCAAGACGACAAGCGTGCTGTTGAGGACGAGGCACTTCAAGGCATTGACAGCCGACGCTACGCGAAATGCTGAGGTACCGAAGTTAGAAAAAGGCGCAGATTTCGGCATGTCTTCGTGATGAAGGTTGTGAAATACAGCCAACAAAGAACGAATCAGCGCGCGTGCGCCCACGAAACAAACACCGCACGAACCTGCGTTGTTCCCCGCTGTATGCGCGTGCGAAGACAACCTCGGCTGTGCGAGAGGCATCGTTGTGCCGAAAGGAAGAGACCAACGCATTTGTTGACTCCTTAACCTTTCTCAAGATTTCATGTGCAACACGAAAGGTAACCGACAGCATAGTTCTTGTATGCGGTTCCCGAGAGAAATGACCAGCGCGGCTTCGCGCTGCACTACGTACGGCAGTGCAGAAAACAAGCTGACACACGCAGGCACGGGTGCGCACAACATGTGGCGCGCATTTATGATCTTCCGTGAGGAGTGGGAGCACACCGCAACGTGCCCTTGCCGCGCATGTGACAAGACGTGCCAAAACACCAAAGGACAGCTGCCTACTTTATGGCCATGACCTCGACGAAATCGTGCGCCGAATCTCTGTCTCCCTCTGTCGTCGGTTGTTCTCACCTGGGTGCCACGAAGGCTTGGGCTCCGGCCACGCAGGCAGCGGCTACAACGCAGGACTTCATCTTGATGTGAGGTGGAAGTAGTGAAAAGAGTAAGGTGTTGAGGAGATGTGGGGGAGGAAAACAGAGTGAGAGGACGTGGCGGGGGCGTGGGCGTGGGGCGTGCGCTTTCCACAAAGAGCCGAGAGATCTTCGGGCCAGATGACATCAACAAACCCAGCCAATCAGCGGACGCGAGACTGTGTCGAGATTTCGAGATTTCGCCGCACTATGAACTTTTTCTCATTTCCCTGTTCACGCCGTTCACGCTGTGTGCGGGCTTTGTTTGCGCTGCAACAGCAGCGTCCATAGAGGCCTCGCTGTCACGCACTTGTCCTTTGCACCACCACGTATTATGAGTGTGCCGTAGATCGGAGCACAGGGGGCTCCTTCCACACGATAACCGATTAGAGCAACACCTTGGTGGCGGCTGTGCCGTGTGCCGCGTCATCGCTCATTGTGGCAGGAAGGCAGGCGATGCTCTGGTCTTCGGTCTGCTGATAAATACGCTCCCAGCGCGTGGTTAGGTTGTGTGGTGGATTCTGTGTTAAATACTCTGCTGTTGTAGCTCTCTGCTGTGTGAGTGCCATATCGCTCGGCGGGTCTAAACTGGAAACTCAATATCCTGCGCTCCACAATCTGTCACAATGTCACGCTCCCAATCTCCCAACAACTCCAGAAACTCCACACTTAGACTAAATGCTCAAATCTTGCAACCGCGAAGCAGCGTCCTGCTGCCGCTCTCCCTGAAAGCACCACGCACAACCCCCGTTGCAAGCCTCCTGTCTAGCAGCCAAGAACGCAACGTTGATTCTGCTGGATAGTAGTGCAGATCGCGGTTGGAGCCACGTGAAGAAGAGAGATTAGCTTAAGCAGCAAACGTCATTGATGCATCTGGCGGGATGCCCTAAGGAATAGAGCCAGCTGCTGCTGGCTATCTATCGACCGAAATGCAACGGCGCATACATACACAACCCCCGGAGACAGCAGTTGATCACACGCTGCCAGGACCAGCTTGGAAGAACTACGCCCTTGCTTTGTCCTGTATAGAAACACCAAACACTTTATATATTTTCATCAACAGGTGTGCGAGGCGGCAACAACGATGGGTGTCTGGTACGCGTTGTGGCTAGTGCTGGCGGCAGCACCTGCTGCTGCTGTTGCTTCTCCTTCCGAAGCCTTCATTACTTCGTTCGGCGGAGGAGGATCGAAGATGCTGCGTGTCGGGCAACGACACCAGCCTTCGTTCAAAAGCAGCGGCAGCTGCTCCAGGCAGCGTCGCGCCGCCCTCGACATGAAGTACGTCCCTGACGGCCTTTCCCCCGAGCAGTGGGAGAAGATGCAGAAGGAGGAGGCTGAGAAAAAGAAAAAGATGGGCAACCTTGGGGAGGTATGTAGAAGGAGAGGATGGCCAGGTTGTGCTTTTGTCTTGTAGTACAGCACTACTGCTGTAGTACTCTGCAGTTCTTGATCTTCATCTTTTCATCACGACGGCAAACTATCAAACCAAATACCTTTTCGTGCTCTTGGGAGTTCTCTTAAGAGTACAGCAGTATCATCAATGTTGAAAAATAAGAAGTAATACGAACTAGTACGTGCTTCGCGGACCTGACTCACAAGTACTTCACCTTCTTCGGGAAGAAAAAAATAGAGTAAAGACTACCCGCGATATGTAACCACAGCAGTAGTCGAACAGAGGTGTGGTATCTACTTTTTCTCCGGGTACTGAAGAAGAGCTTCAAAAGAGCATGGTGGACATCCCGCGCACGTTCCCCCGTTGCTATCATACACTTACTTGTAATTTGCAAGACACGCTTTCTTCGACACTTCTGGGTGCCTGGCCTCATCCCTGTTTGCGGCTGCGGTCGGAGTCGAGGTCACCCTGGGGACTCTCCCCACCAAGCGCACGCCGCACACGGAGAGAATTTTAGTCACGAGTGGCCAAAACACGTTACCGACAACTAGCCTTTTGATGTCAACACACTGCGCACGGCACCTTCCTGGAGACGTGGGATGCCAGCCAGTACTCTACGCGAGTACCTCGAATTTCCTGTGTCATCTCTTTGCCGTCGGCCCGCCTACGCAGGATTTTAAGAGTATCTGGAAAGAGAATAGGGAGGGGGCCCTAACCACAAAGCACGGATTGAATACTTAATCCCATGTGTTTCCTTACTCAATTCAGCTGCGCACTCCGTTGGGAAATCCTTGGTGCTGAGCACATCTTGCCTTGTTCCTGGTACGGCTTTTCCGTTCTCTCTCTGCCCCTCTTGCCCATTTGTGAGTATATTTATTTGCTTGGCGTCAAATAAGGCGACCCTGAAAAGGCTACTGCCGTAGACCGCTTTCTTCTTTCATGAACACCGTATGACTTGTCGTCCGCCAAGTTTAATTGCCTCAAACGTCCTGGTTTGCAAACTTATCTTGTTCAGGTAGGTGTGGTTGAACTGATCAGTGATGAGTGTGAATGTATCTCTTTTGGTGCGCCTGCCGCGGCAGGTGGGAGTGAAGAGCTTCAAGAGCAGGAGCCTCCAGGCGTGGCAGGAGGACGGGGCCGGCCACCTCTTCCCCGTGGACCCCAAGAAGGTGCGGAGATGTTGCATCATCGTATCCGTGGTCCGTCGTAGTATAGCATCCCTCGTGCTTTGCGGGGAAGCGGATCTCAATCTGTATGCATAGTTGGTTTCACACTTTCATGGTCGTCGTGTTCACACCCCACGTGCTTTGCAGGGAATACAGTATGTGTGCATGGTCGGTTTCACACTCCACATGAACTGGAAACTGCTAAATAGATTGATACCCATGTCTTAAAAACACTTTAGACGAGAGCGTGGTGGGCCCTATATGACTCTGAGAGTGTTAGCGATGACGTCATGTGATTGCCGTATCATAAATGCAATATGCTTCGTACATGTATGCTTTACAGTAGTTAAGGATGAATCCCCTTCATGCCGCAGAAACATGATACTCATGCCGGAGCCGACGTAACCAACTCTTGTAGTAACATCGGATGCAGAGTCTTCCCGATAGGCCTCTTGAAGCACTTGCTCAGTTGGTACCACCGACAACAGGTGTGCAAAAGACAGCAAACGTACGAAGCTTGCGATGCACCCCACAGAAAACTTCGAATGGAAAGGACGGCGGTGGTGCTTAGAGGTTGTTTTATTTCCTACCGTTTCATGCTGAAACATTCACCGTGCATTCGTACTCTGGACGTCTCCAAATAAGTTAAGTGCGGCACGCCGCCCGGTATTCGACACTCCCCCGGCTGAGCTTCCAAGCTCGGTGTCTCAACACGAGGAAATAATGTGTGTATTGTTGTTGTTCGGTCTTTGACAGGCCATACATTCAAAATAGTGCCGTCTAAGAAGATGTTGACATGTAGCTTTTTTCTCGAAAGAAAGACGTTTCGCCATGCCGTATACGTTGCTGGCAACGCCTGCGTTGCTGTGGAGATTCCGGGCCATGCTGGAAAACCGACGCCGGTGTTGTACTGTATTCATGTCTTTCGCGTCTCGCGGTGCGATGAAGAAATAGATGTGGCCTTCTCCGAAATTGGGTTTCCGACACATGGCGTGCTGAGTGATGTTGGGGTTTCGCATGATTTTGCGACCCTACAGTACCCCATAACTTCCTTCAGGAACCACACGCAACAGAGACGGAAATCTCGCCTCTGGGACGAGTATCGCCCTGAGTATATTCTGACGTAGCGGGGAGGGTGTACTCCTGTAAATGCATGCCATACAGGCCGGACCCCCAGTCGTGAGATGCTTCATTATGAAACAGAGGCAACTTTTCCACGATAATATGAACTTGAGGATAAAAGAACACAGCTCGGCGGTGTATCCTATGCTAGATTTTACCGTACAACAACCTCTGCTCGTTAGCAGCGGCGACGAAGTAGTCTCATCTCCGGACCCCTCTGTAGTCGTTAGACCATTGACCCTGCAACCCTACAATGCCGGGACGGAGCGATACGCCGCCGGGTTATGGCCGGCCCAGGCAACGTTTCGGAAAGGTGAATTAGAAGCTGGTCATCATCCTTGCATTTGCNNGGGGGGGGGGGGGGGGGGGGGGGGGGGGGGGAGGGGCATACTCTTATGTTTGGCATGCCTTAGCGGATAGACCATTGACCACACGTTCTCGAGAGGACGGAGCATTGTTCCCACAGGACCGATCACCGATGGCCAATCGTTTCTTTCTACTTTGCCAAAGGTGGCTCAACAATGTCTTCCCTAGTCTTATCTATCCTACCGATATCACTTGCCGCCTTTTCAACCCACTTCCTATGCCCCAGTACCGCGAACGTCTTATCCTGCCTATCCCATTCCTCAAACATCTTCCTGTACTTTTCTTCTACTTTTCCCAGCTCAGTCATGTACACGTCTCTCTCCTCCTTGTACAGCCGACATTCCGCGACTACATTAACACGGTCTTCGCACTCGGAAGCGCAATCACATTTGAACTTGGCGTCTTCATCCTCTACCTTCCTATATCTTCGGCTACGTTCTCGAAGGCCAATGTCCCCGGTCCTGAACTTGACCTGAAGCTTTGTCCCTGCATCCATTGGTCATCCTTGAACCCTATTCTTTCTTTCAACATTCCGTACGCTTCTAGTCTATGCCCTCCCTATCCTTTGTTTCTTTTCTTCTCTCTCTGCAAAAGCAACATATATATTCTCCTTGAACCCCTCTAGAGCTTCCGTTTCCAGCGTATCGTCTTCGTCAATTTCGAACCCTTTCCATGCGTCATCTATTACCTTGACCCACTCCGTAGGTTGTCCACCCCTCTTCTTGTTTTCCCACTTCGCCCCCCAGGCTTTTCTCGGCAACCTCTCCTCTCCCATACCGCACATAACATGCGATACTGCCATGTCAGCTTCCTTGCGTCTCTTCCCGATATTTAGGATCGGATCCCCAGTTCTGCCCTGACGGCTGCATTGCTTGCGCGCTTGGAGCATCCTAGGATGACTTTCGCCGCTTTCATCTGCGCCGCCTCGAGCTCTTTGACTACCTTCTGATTTCCTTCCTACAACTCTCCGGCGTACTCGAGCGGCGGTACGCTTACGCTCTTCAAAACCGTTAATTTGATACATACGTGTATCGAGGCGCCGGTTTGCGAGTATTGGGTGCAGCTTCCCTGCTCGTGTTTTGCCCTTTTCCGCTACCTTGGACATGTGTGCATTCCACTAGCAGTCTTTTGCGATCTCTACTCCGAGGTATGTGTGCTGGTCCACTACTGCAAGCTCCTCGACCCCCCACTCTACTGGTTCCTCCCTGTCCTCGTTGCATACCATGATGGCACTCTTCATAACGTTGGCAGATAGTCTCCACTGATCAGCAAACTCCTTCGCCGCGTCAATTTGCATTTGAAATCCCTCAGGGGTGTCAGACACCCCAACAAAGTCATCCGCAAACAGCATTCCCGGCACCGTGCATTCCCCTACCTCTACTCCCTTCTCGACTGCTTCTACGAGTTTCAACAGATCGTCGGTGAACACCTGGAACAATGTTGGGGACAAAGTGAAACCTTGCGGGGAGAAGGGGGACGGTTACTTGTGACGGTTGTACTGTAGCATGCCTGTCATATGTCATACAAACTTGCGGGAGTCGGTGGATAGAGGTTCTCTGCATTTCGGCGCATGAGCAAAAAACTGGAAAAAAACGCAGGAAGAAACGCAAGAAAAAAACGCAGGCGCCATCCGTTTTCTCTTGCGTTTCTTCCTGCATTTTTTCCAGGGTACTCGTCGGGAATATTCCCGACGTCATTTAGGCGGGAATTTGGGCGGTCCCGGTACTGGCGGGAAGTACCGCCAAAATTCGCGGTACCGGGAACCGCCAAAATTGGTACCGCCAAAAAAACGAAAACCGCTTCCCGCCTAAAAATTCCCGCCGTATTGCAGTACCGCCAAAAAAATACCGGCGAAATCTCGCGTTCCCGGGACCGCCTAAAAAAAACCGGCATATTGCAGTACCGCCAAAAAAGTACCGGCATATTGCAGTACCGCCAAAATGGTACCGGCATATTGCAGTACCGCCAAAATGGTACCGGCATATTGCAGTACCGCCAAAATGGTACCGGCATAGTGCAGTACCGCCTAAATGGTACCGCCGTACGCTAATTCCGCCTGGGGTTATGTACCACTAGGGCTTTCCAAACGTATACAGCAGTACAGTATACACCCAATGGACTAGAGTTCGATCCTCACACCGCCTGTTTTTTTTTCTGTCTTCTTTTCTCTTTTCTTTTCCAGCCTTTTTTCTTTTTTCTTTTTTCTTTTTTTTTTTCTTCGCGTTGGTTCTATATATCGCTAGTGCCTTTTGGGCGGAACCTCTGTCTGCATGTGCAGACAGGCGCGGCGTGCGGCGTGCGCCACACGCCACACCTGCTCAGCACGCAGAGTGCGCGTGGTCTGTCTAGCAATGAGCGCTTCAGACCCTAGTGTTAGTGCTACTCCCAGTGGTGAAGAGGCTGCGTCAGCCGATTCATCCACGCCAGCGGCTGCTCCGGAGCAGAGAGCAAACAAGCCGATCGATATCACCCTCTAGACTAGGGTAGCCGAGAGTGCAGAGTGCTTTGTTGTGGATGTCTGACTACTGTGCCAGAGCTGGTGATGAGGGTTGGGTTTGTTTTGCTAGTTGGGTTGTCAGCCATCGCTTCATCGCGGTGCATTTCTGTTTTGTTTTCTTTTTTCTTGTTTTTTGTTTTTCATTTTTTATTTTTTGTTTTTTCCGTTCTGTTGCTGCTTTTTTAAGAGAAGAGAGACGACAGAGAAACGGCTTGCCGCTCGTTCAGCCGCCACAAAAATGTGCATATATACATATATACAAGTATACAATATACAACAATAGCAGGATATAGTGCAAATATAGACGTAAGGGCCGAAAGTACGAAAGTACCGCCATTTCCGGCGACGGCGTGGTAAGCTTACCCAGTACCGCCGAATTTCGTAAAACCGGGAACCGCCGGAGGCAGTACCGCCACATTGTAAACCGCCGAAGGCGGTCCCGCCATACTGCGAACCGCCGACGAGAGTACCGCCAAAAAATGCGGTACCGGGACCCGCCGAAGGCGTTCCCGCCAAACTGCGAACCGCCGACGAGAGTACCGCCAAAAAATGCGGTACCGGGAACCGCCAAAAGTGGTCCCGCCAAAAAAACGAAAACCGCTTCCCGCCTAAAAATTCCCGCCGTATTGCAGTACCGCCAAAATTGGTACCGCCAAAAAAATCGGTACCGACGAGTACCCTGATTTTTTCTGACCTGCCGGCACATGCAGAGAGCCCCGTCCTCACGAAGTATGACGTATGCGGACCTCTTTTCCTCAATACATACGTAGTAGTTAGCATTCGTGTGTAGCATGTGTCTCGTGTGTGCAGACCACCGAGGACGATAAAATGGCTACACTTTCCTTGTGTATGTGGCTTTTCGCACGGGTATACGCTTTGTCATCTGGTTCGGAAGGAAAGCTAGAGCGTCATGAGGGGGCAGGCCAGAGGGGGCGTTCTCGTTGCCATCCGTGGCGGGGCGCTTCCGTCCCGCGTACGTTCTCCGGTGGGTTGCCCGTCCCGCGTTACTGCCCCACGGAACACACGGCATGCGCCAATACAGCAGATAGAGACGCCTTTCGTGGTCACGAAGAGCGGAAGAACTACGGCAGCAACGAATGCTCGTCTAGCTACGGGGTAGAGGCCACGCGCGCAGTTCGATGATATACTGCGCGAACGGCACAGAGGGCGCGACCAAACCAACCCTAGAGAGCACCTCTGGTGCTTGCAAGCGACTCGACTTATTGCTTCTTCTGTGGGAATTCGGCAGCCACTGCACACACGACTTCATGACCGGGCATCGCTATCGTGTGTTGGTTTGAACAAAGACACATGTGAGCACTTGACCCTTTATCCTCTAAGTTCTCAAGTGGGTAGCGCCAAGCAAGCATTGGCTCCCATATGCGGATCTGTGCATTGCAAACGGAATGCTGGCAAGCAAGGAAGAGATGAAGCATTCGAAACAACAATTCCGTTCGCCCAACGACAACGAACACTGCAACCTTCGACGGCAGGTCAAATCGGGAGAGATCCCTCCTGAAAAGACCCCGTACATGCAGAGGAAGGGGGCGTGGGACAACTCCGACCTGGCCAAGAAGAATATCCAGAAGAAGTGGTCCGCCACAGACAAGGCTTACGCTGCGGTGAGTTGGGGATAGAAGGCCTTTTTAGGTTTTTTGGTTTTGCGTGTGTTGTTTCGTCCAGCTTTGATGTTCCTGTTCTCACTTCAGTGATGCTAGGCCTCTAGATTTTTTTTCACCTCTGGCGTTTTGTCCTACTTTCACCTTCCTGCTCTGATTTCAGTGGTAGGCGTATTTTGTACGACGTTTTCGTCCAGCTTTGGTGTCCATATGCACTCTCGGTTCATTATCTTGCAAAGTACATACACCTGATGCTATTTTTTAGTACCAGGGGAAGGAAAAGGAGCTTGAGTCGCTTTCCTTTCCTGGTGCTGAAATGATCAAGGTAGGGGTTCGAAAAGACAAGGGCAAAACTTGGTGCATGCGTGTTTCTCTTTCGTGGCTGTTGAGCAGCATGTCTGACTTTACGCCTACCTCGTACCCCAAGGTCGTCTACGTTGCCGACTGCAGGGTCCACTTTTCTTCCGCTTGGCCATGCGATACCTTTGTTTTTGTCTGACTCTCTTCATCTCTCCCTCTCTGGTCCCCTCTCGTGCAAATATTGGGCTCCAGTGCAAGTCAAACCCATGCACTAGAGAAGCACAATAACCAGTTTGTATTTTTAGATGTTTGCCCGCAGATGAATTGATTCCAGAGAACACGCCCCGTCATTTTTGCTCGTCTTGGTTTACAACAACCACACCATCTCCCCCCCCCCCGCCCCTCCGAAAGAAACCGACAACGGCGGCGGAGAAGAAGGCGGCGGCGGCCAAGAAGGCGGCAGACGACAAGAGGAAGGCGCAGAAGGCGCAGAAGCTCAACCCCGATGATGTCGGAAAGAAGAAGGGGATGTTCGGTCTTTGGTAGAGCAGGAACCTTTTGGGAGCTACGGAGGCGAGAGCAAGGGGTGTGTGTGTGTGCATAGAGGTATGATGAGAGCAGCAAGAGAGGGCGAGAGCAAGGGGTGTGTGTGTGTGCAAAGAGGTATGATGGGAGCAGCAAGAGAGGGCGAGAGCGGGGAGGGGGACGGGGCGGGGCGAGGGGAGAATGTCGGGAAAGTCGGGAATGGACCGGCGGAAAAGGTTGTCGGGAAAGATCGCGCGGCGGGTCAGATTGGTTTTCGTCGTCGGTAGATAGGAGGCGGGAAGTTGGCGCTGAGTGGTGGGGGGAGGCGGTGAAACGTCGGTGGTGGGTGGTATATAATCAATTGACGATATATGCATAGAAAATAGCCGGAAAGGCACTTGTAACCGCGCACGGTATTTGGCAGGGGTATGTCTTTCTTGAGTATATCCGGTCACCTTGCAGTCTTGGGAAAGAAAGCGTCCGGTCAGCGTCTCGCTGGATGTCCTTAACTTGCCTTGTTTCCCATCAAGAGCAGAGAGAGATATTTCAATGGTTTTTGCCCGTAAACCTATCTGGAGTTTGTGGCCCTTCTTTGATGCAAACCACATTTTAACCTGATTAGCGCGTCGGCAGCGGTGTCCGAGTTGTCATGCAGAACGTGGGCATCTGCGTGTAGTCTAAAGTAGTTTCGATATTTCTACGTTTTTGTTTTTAGAATTTCCATAAGTTTGGAGTTTTCATCTTCAAAAGCATTGGAAGCTACGCTGGCTACGAAAGCATTGGAACCTACGCTGGCTGCGAATGGCTTCGCACGGCAAATAGCAAGAATTTCCGGTTCTTGGCAAGGTTGCGGACTTCGACTTATATTCACTTATTTCTCCTTTTCAAGGTTCGGTGTAAGTCATGTGACGTTGTGCTCGAGTGGACTGCCACGACCGCACCTATCACCCTCTCTTGACAAGGGAGATCCCTGAGTGTAGGATGGTGCGGGGTGAGATCTACGGGTTAGTATGTCCCGCCGAACCAGCCCAGTAACCCAGTCCGGCTTAACCCAGTACATGTAACGGCACCCACGCGGCAAGGTGGCATCCTCACCCACGGCGGCTTCGTTGTAGGCGTGCTACCGTCAGCGTGCAGTGTGGCTCCGGGTGAGGTCTGCGGGTTACATATCGTGCCGAACCAACCCAGTCCGGATATGTTCGAATATCCCACAATTCACAGGTAGTCACGCGCCGGCGGCGAGACATCTGTTGTCGAAACCCGTTTCGAGGTGTCCAACAAGCACCCCTTCCCTCCCCCGTCCCTCCGGCAATAAAAAATACACGCGCACACTTGGTAGGGGCTCGAAATGCCGATTACAGCAGCAGTGGCGAGCGTTTCGTTTGGATTCAGAGTTACAGAGTTTGGACCCAGCGACAACCCTCGACATCACAGTCCCAGCAGCAGATCAAAGCTCGTCAACTACTGCTGTGTGGCTGTTCCATGACACTCTGTGTAGTCTGTAGGCATCTGTATGATTGGGAATCGCTGAGCCGGCCGCAGATGGCGCCGCACGGCTGACTGCTGTTGTACATCAGCTGAGAGAAATTGCGGCCCATACACTCATTTTCTCTTTTTCTCATCACCCCGGTCACCATTTTACGGTGATTGCAGTCTCTACCTATCTACAGCAGTATTTCCGCAGTGTTACCCCTCTCACCGAAGAGCTCTGGTCCTGCTCTGAGGGACATGCATATCTTTGAAGAAGTTCGGCGCTTTTATGCATAAGTCCATAATTACTCTCCAATAGGACCAAGAAGCCTTTCCGCGCTCCCTCTGTTGGTGCAGACCGCGGACAACCCACGCCTCGGCCACAATCGAACCTGTGCCCAGCCACTAGAGATGTCGCTGTTGTCATCAATGACCTAGACAGCCGTACATGGACCACGCGGTGACGACGCGTGACATGTGCAAGCTGCAGAGATGATCCAAGGGCGGACTTTTCACCAACAGCAGGACGCTCCACTGCTTTACCGCACAGCGATAGGAGGGTAGCCAAAGAGAACCAACCCCACGCCCACCACGACCAATGGCTTAACACAACAATCAACTCCGCGAGAGAGACAGGAAGCCAATGTGCAGAGCGCACGATCGGTATTCCAGCATATCCGAAAATGCGGCGAAACCACTGCTGTTATCTCCCTGATACTGCCCTGAGCTCGTGAACAACAGTCCCGCGGCCTGTGATTGGCCGAGCTTTGGTTGATGTCATCTGGCTCGAAGTTCTCTCAACCATTGTCTTCTCTCAATTTGGCAGCCCACGCCCCGCGCTTCCCTTGTTCATTCCGTTCTCTGCCCACAACATCCTACACCTCCCTCTCCCCACGCCACCACCTCACATCAAGATGAAGTCCTGTGTTGCAGCCGCTGCCTGCGTGGCCGGAGCCCAAGCCTTCGTGACACCCAGGTGAGAATAGCATTGGTTCGTTGGTCGGTTATCCGGAGGTGGCACGCTCCTTCCGATCGTAGTAACAGGAACACAAGTACTTGGATGCTTGTGTGCGTCTAGAAGCTATATGATAATCAGCAGCGTATGCTCTCTCCTAACAGCTGTCCTCAAGACAGCTGTCCTCTCCCCGTAGTGGAATCGGTATCCTTGTGGCGCCATGCGCTCGTACACGCACGTCGCGTCGCTCCGCGCGATGATTGGCTGTTCTACGAATTGATTGGTGCCTGTCCCTCCCGCTTGTCGAAGCACATGCTTTTCACACGGCGGCAAACCTACGCATTTCACCCGGCGGCGAACCTACGCACTTCCAGCAGCACCTTTCCTTCTGAGATGAATGCGCGCATGATTCATCTTCCCTGCTTGTCTCGATTCAGCATGAACAAAAGCGTGTCCCTGCCGCTGCTTCCCTCGGATTCAGCATGAACAAAAGCATGTCCCTGCCGTGGATAGGCCCTTCCCGCGCCGGCGACTTTTTTTTTGTCGGCGTTTCACGATTTTTTTTCGGCAATCGCCATAGCACGTGACAGTGAAGAGCCGTTTAAAGTCGATAATGTGGAGTACAGCAGTGCGGCGGACCTTTACGACGCCCTGGCCAACGAAGACGAGGCGGCAACGGGGGATGNGTGCGCAGACGCCATCCGCCCACTTCTCATAGAGAGCCGCTTGCAGGCGACCCGGCAGGACCTGGACACCTCATCCGTCGGGCCGCGGAACGATTTGTGGACAGAGGTCACCGCGCGCTTCCGAGACCCTGACCACCAGGTACACGGTCATAGGTAGGGGGATTGATTGGGACGGATCGGCCGAGAACTTTGCACAAAGACAGCAGTCGAAGTGTTTGTTGACACGCATGCCGTATGTTTATGGTCATGTTAGCCATTGTACTCAACACCTCATAACGTCCACGGGCGATCGCCGTTGTTTTAGGTAAAAAGCCATGAGGTACCCACCCCCAAGAGCGGGTCAACCTGCTGTTGACGTACACCGGTAACTTATGGTGTTGTTGCTGACGCCGACGAAGATCATACTGCTGTAGTTGCTTCGAAACCTTCGACCTATTGGTGGAAAACGTAGAAAACGCACAGAAGAATTCCACAGGAGTGCATAGCCAAACAATATTACACGACAGAAAAAAATACCACTGCAGAAGCAACTCTAAAATCCAGACCGGGATCAGGCCGATAGTACTAACCTTCCCGCGAGAGGTACATTCCCGGTTCGGTATGTTTTTTTTCCTCGTATCAAAATCGTGTTAAATTCCTCGCACGCCCGGGGGGCGGTACTCTTATGTAAGTATTTTTAAAGAACACGCGTATGATCTGCGCTGCCCGCTCCCTCGCTCCCTCGCTATGCATGCCCTATATATGGGTGATGTGGACGTTTCTCAGGTGAGAAAAATCGTGGACGACGAGCTAGTGTCTCTCGTCGACCCTAACATCATCCAGCAACCAACCATCTCGGCGGAGAAGCTTTCCAGGATGTGGGCTACGGGAAAAGCGAAGTGGAACCAGGCTTATGCCAACTGGAAGAGTGAATCCGGCAACAACCAGCCATGGCTTTCATTTTGTCAAGGTAAGGGATGGGTGGAGTGGGGCTGGGTATAAAATAGCGTCTGTTTGCTCAAGGAACCTTGGGCGATTTTGTGGTCGCGGCATAAATTCCGCCCATCCTCCTTCACAGCGTGTAAGTGCTGCTACGGTCGGAGTTTCGATGTTAGACTTGGAGTTCTCGACAGTGTTGTAAGACGTGCTCCAGGGATGACGTTGGCATTGAGGCCTGATTGAAACGGAGTGTCTGCACCATGTACATTTATCGTGTATTGTGAAGCACGACCAAAGACCATACCAATTGGTCCAAAAAAAACTCCCGCCCGCGCCTTGCACTTTCTTTTTTTTACAGGATGCACGGACACGTATGTTCTCGGTTGCGCAATCGAGAAATACCCCGAGCTGAACCAAGTGTGCAATAATCTCCTCCCCGAGGGCGCTCAGCGAGAGGATGACGGGACCGGAGAGGACACTGTCTGCAACGGCGGTGCCGAGCGCCGTGCGGCCACCAAGCGGGAGGGCGCCAGGTCTCTNTGTCTGCACCATGTACATTTATCGTGTATTTTGAAGCACGACCAAAGACCGTACCAATTGGTCCAAAAAAATCTCCCGCCCGCGCCTTGCACTTTTTTTTTTTCCAAGTTTGCAACAATCTCCTCTCCGAGGGCGCTCAGCGAGAGGACGACGGCACCGGAGAGGACACTGTCTGCAACGGCGGTGCCGAGCGCCGTGCGGCCACCAAGCGGGAGGGCGCCAGGTGATATTGAGCCACTGCTGGGAAAGGTTGGCGGATCGGAAAAATCAGAGTGGTCCAAAAGATGAGAGGAACACGCTTGCAAGACTGCTGAACACGACAGCAAAGCTTCTGGCGTCGCCCTCCACAAGGAAACGACCGAGTCCTTCGCCGAATTCTCGAAGAAAGTTGTGGAGGAGAAAGAAGAGGGTTATCGGACGAGAGTTAGATTCCTGCGCAAAATGTTGGCCGGCATCGAGAAGGAAATGTTTGGCGACGAATAATAACACCCATATGCACTCCCGGAAACGTATTACCGTGCAATCGTCGAATTTTATGCATGAGTGACGGGGGGGGGGCGGGGGGGAGTTTTATTTTTATCGTTGGGCATGGTTGAGTCAACGTTTTGGTTTCGTCGCAGCATTGAGGATACGTGCGCCTCCGCATAGACGTGTGGGTTTGGTAGGCAACAACGCTTTGAGAGGATGCCTTGCGGCAATAAAGGAAAAAAAAACCGTTGCGGTTCACGGGCAAGTTGCTGTGCCTGTATCTAACGTGGGCGCGTTTTTTGTTTTTCTCTCCCTGCTGCAGGGCTTGCTGCGAGGGTTGTAGCCTTCTTTTTTTTTTGGGCCAGGGTAGGTTTCATTTTTATTGTTGGGCATGGTTGAGTCAACGTCTTCATCTTTTCGTAGCACCATTTTTTTTAGGATACGTGCGCCTCCGCAGAGATGTGTGGGTTGTTTGGTTGGCAACAACACTTTCATATCGTTTGGTGTTTTCCTATATGCAAGACTTGTTCTTGCAACCCAATACTACGTTGGGTGTTGGCGGGAACTCTGAGGCACGCTTGGGTTCCGCAAATTTGGAGCCTTGCAATTTTTCCCGTCTCCGCGCATGCTCATTTGAAGAGCAGGAATGTGTTCGCGATGGGATTCTACAAGACCCCAATTTTTAGCGTGTGTGTGGGTCTCCTTCAGGTCTGCAACCTGGAGCAATGTTTCACCCACGCGACGACTATTTAATGCAGGGATGCAGAGACATCATTAAAAGTTGTATCAACGACAACAAAGTTTTAGATTCACTCTCCTAATTAGGAAAAAAAAAAGTCAAACATGCCCACACTTTTATTTTAATGCCCAAGGTAAAACAAGCACCCTCCGAGACATACCGGACCCCGCTTTCGTCCGCTCACGATGCATGTTAACCCGTGAAGTGTTGCCGGCACGAACACACACATTACGAACCAAGTGTACCCGGACACATCTGGTCAGAACGCTCCACACCGACACCCACAGAACATGTCAGGGAGAATCAACATGTCACACATTTCTTCTTTCTTTCTTTCTTGTTCTCCATGCCCTCTCTACGATGATCTTGGACGATACCTCGAGNGGGGGGGGGAAGAAACGGCGACCGGACACTGCTGTAGAAGCGAGTAGGGCGGCCAAGGCCGCGCTTGCGGCGAACGACGTACCCAACTGATGATGTTGTCGCACCCTGTGTTCCCTTTTCCCTGCCGTAAGCTGTATGCGAACATGTCAGGGAGAATCAACATGTCACACATTTCTTCTTTCTTTCTTTCTTGTTCTCCATGCCCTCTCTACGATGATCTTGGACGATACCTCGAGCTCCTTGTTATTTTTGTTTTTTCCTTTGCTGGCTGCCTGCCACCTCTGCTGCCTCTTTGGTGCGGTGCCTACCCTACACTAATGCGCTGGTGCATACTGCACTGCTGTAGTACCTGGTACTGGTGTACGTTTGTCCTTCGATTTTTTATTTTTTTAGTTTTGTGGGAATATATATGTGTTTGTTTTTCGCCCCCCGTCTTGCTGCANGGTGCTTCCCTCCCGCGTCGCCATCCTCCCTTTCACGCGTCTCGTCATACCGTGGAAGCTAGCCTACNTTTTATTTTATTTTGATCGGTCTCACACCCCCCACCTCTCCCCGGGATGCGCCGACACCGTAGCACTAACACCCAAAACACGTTGTTCCAGCGCCCTCCGCCCTCTACATATCCTCCCTTTCACGCGTCTCGTCATACCGTGGAAGCTAGCCTACTTCTACCGCCATCCGCTCATGTAGCCCCTAAACCCCACCGGCCCTTTTAGCGTACCCACCACGGCCAGAGTCGCATCCCCGCGCGCCCCACCCCCCCCCC